CTGAGGGAGATAGAATGTTGGAAGGAAGTACAGTTTTGCAGGTAGCCGTTGTTTCAGCACTCCTGGCAGGTGAGTATACCGATAAGGTCAGGTCATATCTTATGAACGAGCGGGTAAAGGTGCACGAGAAGGGGGTGAGATGGGATGTTAGAGAGGGAATGTGGAATTGAGATGGAGAAGGGCCACGAAGTGTTAAATGAAATGTGGGGAATTTTAAATAGCACACCCCTCCCCATTGCTCTCACAGTGCCTTCAGTGTTCGCAAACATAAAACTGTCCCCCTTATTTTGATTAGTAACAGACTTATATTATGTTATGTATGTTATGCTTGTTTTGAGTAGTGTAGATATAGCTGCATATCAGGATATAGATTTTGCGCAAATCTTCCAAGGCAGTACATAGACGTTTACTTTGTTTATTTTTGTACCGCGTTCTTTGATGAAGTATATTTGCTTGTCAGAGCTGAACGTCATTGTTAGTGAACACATACTCTTTTCTGAGAGTAATGCTTATAGGGAGATCGGGGCGTCCTGTGGACAGACATGTCTCGTGTTGATAACAGTGAATTTGGAGAGGTCAGGACAGTTGTGCATTTACGACCAACTGTCAGATCTGTTTGAAGCCATTACTCACCTGATTCGTCTTAATTAGTTGGTGTCCATGCAATTCCAGTTGAATGTTGATCCAAAGATTAAAATGTTATTTACATTTTAAGAAAAAAAATACATGCTGCAAGCTTAGAAAGCCATGACATGTACTAAAATGCTCTTTTTTCAGGCTGTATATATACTTCAGTCAAATCGAGTGAGTGAGCGAGTTTAGTTTTAGCAATATTCCAGCAATATCACGGCCCAAAAAATGGGCTTGTGTCAGTGGAACGGAGAGACTAACCGTATGATGTGTATAACTCTATGCCCGAGTCTGAAGAATAACGCCAAGCTGGGAGTCATAGATATCCGATTTTAGCTTACTGGTTATTATACTGGGGTACTGATTGTTGATATGGTTATGGCGACAGTCTTGGCTATCCCGGTTGTAGTGACACGTTGCCTTTAAACTTCCATAATGGCGTAAAAACCATGCTAGACTGTATTTCGCAGTGCAGTCACCGAAACATTATTGTGCAATAGGCCACGCACCAATTTGGAATACATGCCTACTAGTAGTACGATGATGGTCCTGCCGCAACTGTGGCTTAGAGGCTTATTTGTGGGAACTAAGTCCGCCAGCTCCCATTAAAAACGGCGATGGTCTAGCGAGAGGCATCCTTCGATGGCATTTATTTTTGGTACTCGGCTATGTCATAATGACACCTACAAAGCAGTTTAACGTGCATCTTTTACGAGGTTTTTGTTCTTGGTCAGGAAGGCTTGAATGATTTGTTGTCGGCCTTGTTCTATGAGCTTTTTTTTCTCGTCTTCGCTGAAGTCGGCGCTTTTCCGAGTCTTGGTTCGATTCTCTTCCTTCATGCGGTGGTACTTGGCGAGTTCGGCTAAAATCAGGCGGAACTCTTCTTCGGAGATTTTACTGTCCGTGAGCGCCGACGACACGCGATCGTAGATCGTGTTCTGCTTGGCTTCGGCCAGCGATCAGATTTCGTCGTGTTTTAAGGCCTTCCATTGCAACCGACGCGAAACGAGCTTAAGGGCTATTCCCGCCAGTCCCGATACGCCGGCGGCTACTTCTAACCCGAGGACGACGGGTGCGGCCACGATGGTCGACAACAAGCCGATGCCGGCACCCCGAGTCCCATGCCGGCGACCACGACGGCCGTGTCCACGCCGTCGATGGCATTGACGGCCCAAAGGTACTTTTTGTGCAATCTGGGTTGCACGTCGCGTTCTCGTTCCAGTTGGCGTTTGATGTCGCTGATCTGTCGCAAACGAAATCCATCCACGGTTTCGAGCGTTTGAGCCACGTCGTCCATGGCCGGATACAATCCCATCCTGCACTATACAGTCAGCTCTCGTTAATCCGACACTTGTGGTTGCAGAGAAATATGTCGGTTTACCGAGAATGTCGGATTAATTTATTTGTGTGAAAATATCAATGTTTACTAAATGTCATGATCGCCATACTGTTGCATGTATATCAGAAATTGTAGATCTGGTTATCGTCTTCGTATGTAAAAACATTTACAGTAATAAAAAATATAACAATACATCCTTGATATCATTTATTAACATTCATAGATGGCATAATTTTACTCTTGGGTGAATTTATCTTTAGTTGCCACTTATCGCAGTAATCCGCCAGTTTATCTAATTTGTTTGTAAACCAATAACAGCGCTATCAAATATATAATTATATGATCAGCAAATATGAGTATGAAGAGATCCAGCAAGTCTAGATTTACAAAATATTGCTTATCTACACTGAAAAACTCTACTATATCCTTCACAAAGAGGCAGTCAAACAAGGGATCACAACCATTGTTCACCAACACACATGGTTTCACATTTTCATATATACTCATGCCAATAATGGTTGTCACCCCTAACCCTCCCCACCCCAACCACCCACACCCTCCCACTCTCCAATTAAACAAATTGAAGGGGGTGACAACCATTATTGGCATGAGTATATATTTTCCCTTTACATTTCCAATCCACAATTTGTAAAATAAGGATGGCCTATGAACAGAATAAAAAGCTGCTTTCAGATCTATGAAAGCGCAGTAAAGTCTACCTTTGTAAAGTTATAGGTACTTATTAATGATGGTGTCAATTACAAAACATTATCAACCGTATGAAAGCCTTTCCTAATTAAACCTGCCTGTTCAGGAATGACAAGATTTTGATTATCAGCTCATTTCGAAAGTCTGTTACATAAGATTTTGGAAAAGAGGTTACGAAAACCTCAAGTAGAGTGATTGGCCTAACATTTGGTGGATTATTACTCGGCCCCTTTTTGTGGATAGGAATAATATGACACCAAGTGTCCACTGAGAAGGATAAACACAAGTTGACAAAATCCTATTATAAAGTTCCCTCAGCATGTCTAAACTACATACCTAATGCTCAACTTCAGTAGATGACTTTCTTATTCTTTGACTTGCGAGTTATATTACTCGCCTAGCTAGCTGGGCTGTGAGATAGCTTAGTGTTAAAGCGTTTGCATGGGTACAATTTGTGAAGCCCATTTCTGGTGTCCTCCGCCGTGATATTCCTGGAATGTTGCTAAAAGTGGCGTACCCATGTTCAATCACTCACTAAATCACGACTCGGTTAGCTCGACATTGCGTGCAGTGACGTTTCTAACATTCTGCAATCATTGCAACCTATCGTTGCGTATTGAATTTTATTACATACGTGTTCAACGTATGGGTAGGTGCATACAAATCTCGTACGTCACACGAGTGTCGTATCGCGTCACTTTCCATCCAGAGTTCCATGCGGCTAGCACCGTCCATTCAATATACATGTAATGTACATTTTTCTTAACTCTTATATATTTGACGAGTCTACACATCTAATCAATCATCTTTGAGAGAATGGTTTAGTTTCACTGAGAAAATATCCTGAAACATGTAACACTGTTTCGATTTGCGTAGCGATCCTTTGTTTACATCATAGAAATATAGAGAAGAACTCTATTTCTATGGTTTACATGGGTTGTACGGCTCCACGTGCTGTCTTCGAAGCCGACGGAGAGCAAACGATGCAGCCAGTTTTATATATAAGTCGAACTGAGACATTTTATCCGTGGAAAAGCATAAACTTAATGTTTCCACCAGTGATGTTAGCCTAACTGCAAACTAAGAAACAGGGTGCTACGGAGTAGTTTCCTGTAGGAGGCAGTATGAGGCGATGAAAACTGACCAGATTTATCAACTAAGAATTCGTAACTTTGATCGTAGCCAATGTGTTAAGAATGGGCTTACGAAGTTCGTAGGGCTACGAACGTTTCGAGAATAGCTAGCCTGACTCCGGCGCAGTGATGACTTAGCATACTTAGCTGGTTGCATGGAACTCTGGGTAGGAGAGTGGAACTGACATGCATCGTGACGTCGGTTATCAAGGGGGCAGACGAGAATGGCGTGGTGACGTCAACACTGTGTGACGTCATGCAAACAATTCTTCCGCAACCACTTTATGGAACCGGTTTCGGTTTTAAAGCATAGAAAACAAAAATACGCTATTTTGTTAATTTTATGGTGGTAAAACGTGGGTAATAAATTTAATACCACACTCGGTCTCATTACATACGAATTATACGAAACTCGTGACCTTCCTATTCGTATTTATCATCCAAAACTGTGTTCCACTGTACGTGTGCTTGTAGGAGATATCGTTTTGACAGCAGATGTTGTACAATGCATGCCCCTGATAACGCTAATACGTCATGAGGTGAGGTGAGGTGAATTTGGGTTTAACGTCGTGCTTGAGAATATTTCGCTCATATGACGACGTGCATGCATGTGTATGTGTATGTGCGACTGCTTGTACTAGCCCAGACTGAAGCTGGTTTTATAGTGCTAGCCCACTGAGATACCATGCCGCAGTGAAGCATGAATACCCCACTCAGACACATTATACTGACTCCGAGCCGACCAGTCCTTGATGTACCCATTAATGCCGAGCGCCAGGCAGGGACCAACAAGTACCATATTCTAACGTCTTTTGGTATGACGCGGCCGGGGATCGAACCCGCGACCTTCCGCTCTCCGGGCGGACGCTCTAACCACTACACCACGGAGGCGGTCTAATAATACATGAACTTGATGACATCACAATGCTATGCCATCGCTGCACTGTAAATCTAATGGCAGTACCGTGTTCAGAGATGTACATTTTCATTGAAAACTAATGAAGAGTGAATTTGGATGATAAATAGAATCTCGCCCTCGTGTCTTCTGATATCAAATATATCAACACTCGTTGATAAAAGTTGAAATATCCTCGGCAAGCCTCGGTTATTTGTAACTTTATCGATCAATTCGTGTTGTTATAATTGATATCAGAAGACACTTGGGTGAGATTATATAAGTAATGAGACCTCGTGTAGTATTGTCTATATATGACCAGCTATGTATCATTGTGTTACAGTACCGGCGACATGTTCCACTTGTGGCCACACGTTATGGGCGACGTATTCGTGGCAAACCCTCACATACCCGGATAACAACTTCAACTACCCAAGGTAGTGTAGACATATTCATGTTGTTTAGATTACATTATAGCATTATAATCATAGAATTATCATTAAACCACCCACATGTTTTCAGAAATGAGCGGGCCATTGTTATAAGGGTAATGCTATTGTTTAGGTCATATTATCATTTGCAGAAGCCCGAGGTCTTCCATTAACTGCTCAACGAAGGAGGGCAGTTGAAAAAGACCAAGGGCTTCTGCAAATGATAATGCCCTCGAAAATAGCATTACCGTTATTATTGCTAAAATACGTGGAATTTGTGTTGAAAAGAAAAAGGAAACAATGAAGGAATTTGACTGTAAGTTTACTCAAAACCAACTTCTGACGGGGTTGCCTGCCCGAATGCAATTACGTCATCGAACAATTCAAGTGACGTCACAACAGAAAGTGACGATATTCGACCTTGGCCTTTGACAAGACCATATAGCCTGCAACATGTCAAACTATGTCAGTGTTCGGTTTATGTCCAACAACAACGTTAATAGTGCAATTGTTGAGGTTAGCACCAGCAAGAAAGCCAATATTACCGCTATTTAAAGCGGGAATTCGGGTTGCTTTGACTTGTTTCACCCAGAATATCTGCCAGTCCAAAGCCAATGTCGAATGAACCGTAAGCCCACGCACCCACAATGACGTCACTTGACAACAGAACTGATAGTGGCCCGTCCTTAGGTTGAGCGGTCCAATATCATTTGCAGCGGCCCGCAGATTTCTGATAATGGGAGGGCCGTTTCATAATAATTCCATGTATTTTAGCTATAAAACTTGATAATGCCCCCAAATTGCTTGACGACGGGCCATTATCATGCCCGTTGTTAGGTGACGTCATAAGGAGATCAGCTCTTGTTCGTTTGAACTTCGGTTCAGTATTGACGATATTTCTGACTCACATTCGTCACGTGTACCTGTGCCATTATTTACTTTCTTGCCGGTGCCAACCTTAACAATTGTACTATAAATTATAACATGCAGCAATGGAAACATCGACTGGAACTCTAACGTACGTTGTTGAGCATTGAAAAAAAATGGCGGCTGGTAGTATAGGCAATTGCGTATGAGATTGCGGGTGTGATCGTGAACGTGGGCTCCTGATCCGGATGTGAGTGTGTAGGTGTGATCGTGATCCAGATCGTGAATGTGGGCATGCGTGTGGTTGTGGATGGCTGGGGGGCATTAGGGTGGAGTGGTGGTAGGATGTGATGTATGGGATGGTATATACGTAGTGGAATGATAGTTGGGGGCAGGAGGTAGGGTCGATGAATATATCGGGTCAGAACTGGGACAATGATATCAACTTCCACCATGACCTGACTTGCGACCTCCAGCTTATCCTCCTCCCTTTCAGCAACCAAGCCTGCGAGTGGAACATCCAGTCGGGGAGGTCCGGCTACATTCAAATACAGACCGTCTATGTTCACATTCAAAACTCATTCGCCTGTTCCAAAGATTACCTAGAAATAGGTCAAATCCTAACAGGTAACTGTATTAATATACCTGAAACGGTAACCTGAGGCCCATTTCACAAAGCGGTCGTAGCGCTAAGACGCTCGTAACTCACATACTTTAGCATAGACTTACGACAGTCGTAGCGATAAGGTGATCGTAACTCCCATACTTTAACATAGACTTACGACAGTCGTAGCGCTACGATCGCTTTGTGAAACGGGTCACTGGTTTCGTAATTCGACAACGACCATCTCAGAGAGAATCACCACCTTGAAACATACGACAAGCACGGGTTGCTGGAGAACCATTCTCACCAAGATCTTGACAGGGGCGTGGGGCTGAGCTCGCCTTAGTAGTTGTCAGACACTATACCGGAGTGAACGAATAGTCGTTTGGATAAAATTGGTTCATCAAAGGGGGGGCATTCTGTGAAAGTCATTCCAGTGAAAGAGGCTCTAACGTGACACTCCGGTTCCAGTCGTATGGTGGTAGTCTGTAAATGCTCGAGTTTGGGACATGCATTCCGGACCTAGACATCATGAGCACCGATCAATAAGGACGCAGGGTGACTCCTTGGTCCTGTTTCCTACCAATGAACGGTACGTGTGACTCAGGCTTGTGTAAAGCGCTCTGCCAGCCTAATAGTACTACTCACACTTTGCTAAGGATCACTAAAATTCCCAACTTTACTTAAAGGTAGATTTATAATTTGAAATTGTATCCATTTAAAACTGGATAATTAGTAATATGGTAACCCCTCTTTAGGCAAACAGCCACTTTAATCTAACCTTATGCACTTGAATTGATACATGATTCATGGCACCAATATACCATTTTGCAAATCATGCAACGAGTCATTGACAAGTACACAACAATAATGTGTCCATCTATATAGCGCCACACTAGGTATCCTCATAGCGCTAACAATCAAGGCACAACACATTATTACCCCGGATAACCCAAGCTGCCTGTTAGGCGCTAGAAGGTTATAGTCATATGACTTTTTCCATTTTCCTGCTGGGTGAACAGAGACAATTTTGAACAAACTCACTTGCCTAAGGTGAGACCACATGTGTCATATGTGCTTCGTTGTGGGACAGGACTCTCAGGAGTCAAGCTGCCAAACACTGTCACCCATCCAAGGACTCTCCGAGCTCGACGCTGCTTAACTCACCGATTTGTGACCTGAGCTTTGAGTACAGGACCACGCGTCGCCACAGGACCACGCGCCACCACAGGACCACGCGCCGCCACAACACCTGTCAACAGCAGGTACGGGATTCACAAGATGCAGTGCCATACTGAAACCTAGGATCCATGCTTACAATAAACTTAGATATTTAAACCAAATTAGACCCCACATCATAGTTTTCTGTTGAATCAATTATTTGATCCTTAGCAAAGTGTGAATAGTATAGTACTCGACAGAATGGAAATAGGAAGACATGACAGTTCGGCGTAAATTCAATTTTATTCAACTGCTATGTAATATCAAGCTTCAGTATCTGACCATAACACATAGTTACATCTAAATGCATTGCGAATCAGATGATCATCCGAAACATACACGGAAAACAACGAGCTAACCAAATCAAGGTGGTTATTAGATCACCGCGTAAGGTATTCCGAGTTAGAATAGGTCCTAGGCATTTATCCTTCTAGTAAGAGGAATCAGGTGGTCCGACTCTGTGACATGTTTGATTGTGTGGCACTGAGCTAACAGCGAGGAAAGTTCCTCATAAGATCAACCACTGGTTTGTGTGGCCCAAACGCGGTCATTACCCCGCCATCATATATGCTGACTGCAGAGCTAAACAACAAACGAACGAGCAAATGCATTCAGATCTTCAGTAACCCATGCTTGTCGTAATAGGCGACTAACGGGATCGGGTGGTCAGGGTCGCTGACATGGTTGATACATATCATCGTTTCCCAATTGCATAGATCGATGCTCATGATGTTGATCACTGGATTGTCTGGTCCCGATCTGTGCGGCTTAATATATCAGAGTGCGGCTTAAAACTAAACTCACCCACACTACATGAATCCCACCCCATCACTTCCATCAATTCTCATAACAAAGTATTTGTAAAGATCGCCATGAATAACTGTACTGTTGCTGATTCGGCGTCAAGCAATACTCACTCATCCTCCTTATTAATAGCTAACAGTAACTCTGTATACCAGTACACCAGCATATTTGTATTCAAGGCTATGAACTAGTGTGTGGAGAGCGGGCATTGCAGTATGAATCAGACGAAAAAGGAAAGGATGTCTTCCTACGTTTCGTTAGTGATGGACACGGCTCAGACAGGGGGTTCCGTGTCAAGTACAGAATCGTCGACGCGCCCAGTGCAGGTGAGCCCCTTGTTTGGTAAAACTGATGTGAGCATATGTGGTCTTTTCAAGGTAAGGACGTAAGGGACTTACTTCCTCATTTAGCAAATGGCGGACAGAAACATGCTCAAATGACTGGTTCTGGAAGACTTGAAATATTTATGGATACTAACCTCCAAATTGTTTCAAATGACGTTTCAGGGCTACTTCTTGACGGTTCACGGGCCTGTTTATGTGTTTACTATGTGTTTATGTGCTGCGATTTGTAGTTTCAGGGCTACTTCTTGACGGTTCACTGGCCTGTTTATGTGTTTACTATGTGTTTATGTGCTGAGATTTGCAGTTTCAGGGCTACTTCTTGACGGTTCACGGGCCTGTTTATGTGTTTACTATGTGTTTATGTGCTGAGATTTGCAGTTTCAGGGCTACTTCTTGACGGTTCACTAGTACTATGTGTTTATGTGCTGAAATTTGCAGTTTCAGGGCTACTTCTTGACGGTTCACTAGCCTGTTTATGTGTTTACTATGTGTTTATGTCCTGCAATTTGCAGTCGCTTTCATAGACCTGTTTGAAGTATCTGCAGCTGTACAGAAAAGCAATATGTAAACAATATTGTCATGACATGACGACGACTACGATGATGCTATAATGGGAAGACATGTATGAGAAACAGGTGTCCAGAATAACATGCTATCCCGTGAAGGGAACAGGTGTCCTGACTAAGATACTTGTTGATCTGTGTAGGGAACAGGTGTCCAGAATAACATGTTATCCCGTGGATGGAACGGCTGTCCAGAATAACATGCTTGTTGATCTGTGTAGGGAACAGCTGTCCAGAATGACATGCCTGTTGATCTATGTAGGGAACAGCTGTCCAGAATGATATGCTTGTTGATCTATGTAGGGAACAGCTGTCCAGAATGACATGCCTGTTGATTTATGTGTAGGGAACAGCTGTCCAGAATGATATGCTTGTTGATCTATGTAGGGAACAGCTGTCCAGAATGACATGCCTGTTGATCTATGTAGGGAACAGCTGTCCAGAATGATATGCTTGTTGATCTATGTAGGGAACAGCTGTCCAGAATGACATGCCTGTTGATTTATGTAGGGAACAGCTGTCCAGAAGGACATGCTTGTTGATCTATGTAGGGAACAGCTGTCCAGAATGACATGCCTGTTGATCTATGTAGGGAACAGCTGTCCAGAATGACATGCTTGTTGATCTATGTAGGGAACAGCTGTCCAGAATGACATGCCTGTTGATCTATGTAGGGAACAGCTGTCCAGAATGATATGCTTGTTGATTTATGTGTAGGGAACAGCTGTCCAGAATGATATGCTTGTTGATTATATGTAGGGAACAGCTGTCCAGAATGACATGCCTGTTGATTTATGTGTAGGGAACAGCTGTCCAGAAATGAATGATGCTTGTTGATCTATGTAGGGAACAGCTGTCCAGAATGATATGCTTGTTGATTTATATGTAGGGAACAGCTGTCCAGAATGATATGCTTGTTGATTTAAGTGTAGGGAACAGCTGTCCAGAATGACATGCTTGTTGATTTATGTAGGGAACAGCTGTCCAGAATGATATGCCTGTTGATTTATGTTGTCCAGAATGATATGCTTGTTGATCTATGTAGGAACAGCTGTCCAGAATGATATGCTTGTTGATCTATGTAGGGAACAGCTGTCCAGAATGATATGCTTGTTGATCTATGTAGGGAACAGCTGTCCAGAATGACATGCTTGTTGATCTATGTAGGGAACAGCTGTCCAGAATGACATACGTCTTCATCTATGTAGGGAACAGGTGTCCAGAATGACATGCTTGTTGATCTATGTAGGGAACAGCTGTCCAGAATGATATGCCTGTTGATCTGTGTAGGGAACAGCTGTCCAGAATGACATGCTTGTTGATTTATGTAGGGAACAGCTGTCCAGAATGATATGCCTGTTGATCTATGTAGGGAACAGCTGTCCAGAATGACATGCTTGTTGATCTATGTATGCTTGTTGATTTATGGAACAGCTGTCCAGAATGACATGCTTGTTGATCTATGTAGGGAACAGCTGTCCAGAATGACATGCCTGTTGATCTATGTAGGGAACAGCTGTCCAGAATGACATGCCTGTTGATTTAAGTGTAGGGAACAGCTGTCCAGAATGACATGCTTGTTGATCTGTGTAGGGAACAGCTGTCCAGAATGACATACTTGTTGATCTATGTAGGGAACAGCTGTCCAGAATGACATGCTTGTTCATCTGTGTAGGGAACAGCTGTCCAGAATGCATGCTTGTTGATTTATGTAGGGAACAGCTGTCCAGAATGACATGCTGTGATCTATGTAGGGAACAGCTGTTCATCTAATGTAGGGAACAGCTGTCCAGAATGACATGCCTGTTGATTTATGTAGGGAACAGCTGTCCAGAATGACATGCTTGTTGATCTGTGTAGGGAACAGCTGTCCAGAATGACATGCTTGTTGATCTATGTAGGGAACAGCTGTCCAGAATGACATGCTTGTTCATCTATGTAGGGAACAGCTGTCCAGAATGACATACGTCTTCATCTATGTACAGAACAGCTGTCCAGAATGACATGCTTGTTGATCTATGTAGGGAACAGCTGTCCAGAATGATATGCTTGTTGATCTATGTAGGGAACAGCTGTCCAGAATGATATGCCTGTTGATTTATATGTAGGGAACAGCTGTCCAGAATGACATGCCTGTTGATCTATGTAGGGAACAGCTGTCCAGAATGATATGCTTGTTGATCTATGTAGGGAACAGCTGTCCAGAATGACATGCCTGTTGATCTATGTAGGGAACAGCTGTCCAGAATGATATGCTTGTTGATCTATGTAGGGAACAGCTGTCCAGAATGGCATGCCTGTTCATCTGTGGAGGGAACAGGTGCCCAGAATAGCATTCTTGTTCATCTGTTGGGGGAATAGGTGTCCAGGGTGACATCATTGTTCTCCTATTAAGCGCACAGGTGTCCAGAGTGACCCGGAAGAGCACAAGTGTACAGTGTATATGTTGTGTACCTACGCTGCTTCTCACATGTAGATAAAATAGTTCTTGCTGTCGATTCAATTTGTTCCCCTTACATGCGCAGTACACACTTTAGGCTGAACGAGCCCAGAGTTGGCATAGTTTACATGGAAACAGGAGAGCAAATGAGAAGCAGTTTCTGTATATCGTTATCACTGTGTTCCACAGGATCCCCATCAAGGAAAAGAAGAAAACTTGGTCTATTTCTAAATAATTTAGCTCCTGCATACTTAAAAGATATTACTCCAGATAATGTGGGATCCAGGTCTAACTATAACCTTAGGAATGCTAACAATATTATCCTTCCTTCTGCAAGGTTAAGACTTTCGTATGATTACTTTCCCATCTCTTCTCTGTATTCTTTCCTAAGATGTATATAATTGAAATTGTATGAATGTAAATATTAGGGAGCGGGTGTTTTAAGTTGGATAACTTGTCCGTAACCCCTTTCACATTTGTGAATAAAATATGTTTAAATCAAATCTCCAGCATCCCGAGAGTACTTGCCGGCTACACGGAACTACACTCCAGTCATATACCCGTCTAGCCAGGACGCCATCAGCGGGTAAGAAGCTGTCCAGTTGATCTTCTAGGGGAAGGGTAACAAGATCTTAGTCTTGCTAGCTAGTTTACCCCTTGTCCTATATGTCACACTAAGTACTGCACAGTTGACCTCCTGTCATAAATGATCACACTTAATACAACACAGTTGACCTCCTGTCATAGATGATCACACTTAGTACAACACAGTTGACCTCCTGTCATAGATGATCACACTTAGTACTACACAGTTGACCTCCTGTCATAGATGATCACACTTAGTACAACACAGTTGACCTCCTGTCATAGATGATCACACTTAGTACAACACAGTTGACCTCCTGTCATAGATGATCACCCTTAGTACTACACAGTTGACCTCCTGTCATAGATGATCACACTTAGTACAACACAGTTGACCTCCTGTCATAGATGATCACACTTAGTACTACACAGTTGACCTCCTGTCATAAATAATCACACTTAGTACAACACAGTTGACCTCCTGTCATAGATCATCACACTTAGAACAACACAGTTGACCTCCTGTCATAAATAATCACACTTAGTACAACACAGTTGACCTCCTGTCATAGATGATCACACTTAGTACTACACAGTTGACCTCCTGTCATAAATAATCACACTTAGTACAACACAGTTGACCTCCTGTCATAGATGATCACACTTAGTACTACACAGTTGACCTCCTGTCATAGATGATCACACTTAGTACAACACAGTTGACCTCCTGTCATAGATGATCACACTTAGTACTACACAGTTGACCTCCTGTCATAGATGATCACACTTAGTACAACACAGTTGACCTCCTGTCATAGATGATCACACTTAGTACAACACAGTTGACCTCCTGTCATAGATGATCACCCTTAGTACTACACAGTTGACCTCCTGTCATAGATGATCACACTTAGTACAACACAGTTGACCTCCTGTCATAGATGATCACACTTAGTACTACACAGTTGACCTCCTGTCATAGATGATCACACTTAGTACTACACAGTTGACCTCCTGTCATAAATAATCACACTTAGTACAACACAGTTGACCTCCTGTCATAGATCATCACACTTAGAACAACACAGTTGACCTCCTGTCATAAATAATCACACTTAGTACAACACAGTTGACCTCCTGTCATAGATGATCACACTTAGTACTACACAGTTGACCTCCTGTCATAAATAATCACACTTAGTACAACACAGTTGACCTCCTGTCATAGATGATCACACTTAGTACTACACAGTTGACCTCCTGTCATAGATGATCACACTTAGTACAACACAGTTGACCTCCTGTCATAGATGATCACACTTAGTACAACACAGTTGACCTCCTGTCATAGATGATCACACTTAGTAAAACACAGTTGACCTCCTGTCATAGATGATCACACTTAGTACAACACAGTTGACCTCCTGTCATAGATGATCAACAGCGTTTACATTTTTTAGTTTTTAGTGGGTTTTTTACATATGTATACTAGCCACATAAAGAAACTGTGCATTGTCAAAATATTATGCCAGTTGATAAGTACGATAACAATGTCAAAGGTACATATAAACTTTAATGGAGGGATCATGAAACCATAACAAGTCGGGAGAATTTCAACTGAAAGCGGGTCCACAAGCGGGACAGGGGTCAAACGACCATGTCACAAGCTCAATAACGGGTATGTCCACCATCGGCATTGAGAACAGCAGTGCATCGACGACGCATAGAGCCTATCAAACGTGCAAGAAAGGCTTGTGGGATGTCACGCCAGATTCTCTCAAGTTTTGTTGCAAGGTCAAGGACGTTATCTGGCGGATGAGGAAGACGGCGTAGACGTCGATCCATCTCGTCCCAAACATGCTCTATCGAGGAGAGATCCGGTGAATTTGCAGGCCAAGGCAGTAAGTCAACGTTGTGGTGTTGCAAGAAATCGATAGCAACCCTTGCCGTATGAGGGCGGGCATTGTCCTGTTGGAATGTTAACCCAGGGCCATGACGTTGCAGAAAAGGAATTGCCACATGTCGAAGAAACCCGGATCCCTGTAGCCCCCACCAGTTAAGTTGCCCTGAACAATAACCAAAGGAGTTCTTTGGCGTGCTGTTATTCCACCCCAAATCATCACGGAACCACCACCAAAGCGATTCCTCTTCAAGACACAGGCCTGTGCATAACGTTCTCCCACGCGTCTATAGGCACGTTGACGTCCATCACTATGGGAAATGTTAAACCTGGACTCATCTGTAAAAACAACATTTCTCCACCAAAACAAGGGTCTGCGGACATGATTTCGGCACAACATTCGGCGAGCTTGTCGATGACGTTGTGTCAGGAAAGGCCGCATGGCAGGACGTCGTGGTCTGATCCCGTGATGACGTAAACGTTGTCGAACTGTGTTGGGGTGGATACGGCGAAGTCCTGGGATGGTTCGGGCAGTCATCATTACAGTCTGAAACCTGTGGCGAAGATGGGTCAACCTTATCCATCTGTCCTGTCTTGGCGTTGTTACACGTGGACGTCCAGAACGTGGCCGATCGATGACGTCATTTGTGTTCTGGTAGCGTTTCACCAGTGCAGAAATGGTGTTCCGGTGGCAGTGGAAATGTGCAGCCACATTTCGTTGAGACATTCCCCCACGGACCATCCCAATGGCCTCATGACGTTGTGCAGACGTGAGCCTTGGCATGCTATGCGTTTCAATAGCCGTTTATATTTTTGAACGATCGCAAGGGCAGGGGTTGAGCTTTCCAAAGTGACAGTATTGCGTGAAATTCATTTGCTCTGTTTCTCTTTCCCGGAAGGCAAGTGCAACAACGTATTGCACGTCTCAAGGACGAACCCACTGACGTCACGGAACGTGGCACGTGCATGCATGTTGGATACACGTCACTAATGTCTGAGTTTAAATCCTTATGTGTCTACACAGGTTTGATAAATTTAGATTTTAAATTTTTGTATGCAGTTTCCTTATGTGCATGGTATATATAAACTACACATATAGGTTTATGTTAAGAATCTTGTATTTAGATACATGTGCAACGGGGAATGTTCTATGGATATACAATTTCTGTATTATAATGTAAACGACGTTTCGGTGTAGTTGCTGACATCGTTATCAAGCAAGTGATGCCCCTGAAAGAAGTTAAGATACACGTAAACCTATCGTAGAAGGTACATTGGTAGATAATCAAATATGATTATAAAGCAGAACTCGTACACGACGTTCACAATATAAACGACGTTATCAATAACGCTCAGGAAACCTTATTCTGATGAGGATGTGTAGTTTTACACTGCTTTCAGCAACACTGCATCATTCAAGATTGGGAGGGAGGTTGGAGTGGGGTAGGTGTATGGTGTTCCTTTGAAATAGAATCCACACATTGTTTCACCCACCACAATGAACCTCACGACCAACGCTCACTGTGTATATTGAAATATACATCAGTCAAAACCAAAGCCAATTTGCCTTAAAGAGACTGATTTTGATTTTGCAGTTCCTTTGAAAAATCTTGGATCATGTACACTCAAGATACAAAACTTCATGTCCTGGTGAAATTTGAGGAGTCAACGATAATATGTACGAATGCCTTCATCAAAGTATTTGATGGTAAGAATTGACAATCATCTAGTAAAGGATTATCTTGCATTATTTGTTTATAGTGTCTGTGGTTCTTACAGTATTACTTCACGTTCACGACGGGGAACATTAGAAATGAGCTTCACACTTACCAATGTCGAGAACCGAACCCGGACCTTTGGCGTGACGGGAAAACGCCTTAACCCTTTAGCTATCCAACCGCCTTTCATGTTTGTATGTTTTAATATCGTGACTAGTGGATAATATATTTACCATCGATAGCCAGTCTAACAACCTTGATGTGCTTAAAATAGCGTGATTGTTAATATATAGTACAATATATTTCACTTGTCCTATGGTTTAAGGCATATCAACAAGTGACCTTCTTCTTGGCAACTTGTGTGACAACCGCACAAACACATTCCAGAGCACGGGGGAATATGCCCGGGTCCTGCTCCACTCACAGACTGGCGCTCCCGGAAGTATCAGCTTCAAGTTCCGAGCTGTAGACCCCCCGTCACTGCCAAGTAAGTGTCCCAGTCACTGTCGCGTGGTCATACTTCAGTCCCGACTCAGCGAACTAACACTGTTTACTGGGAGAAGTATCAGATAAAAGCTGATTAAAGCAATTACTGAGGTGTCGGGTACAGACCGCTCTTATATCATGCGTTAAATAACAAACAAATAATCGCCAGGAACGAAAATGTCATTTAGAAGAAGCTCTGTTGTCTGTATTTCAGGTTCTAACGCCCCTGTCAAGGTCGTCCTGGTGGTCGGAGGGTCATTTGGCTTTATAATCTGCATGGCGTACCTTGGCTTTTTCATCTTCTGTCTCTACAGAAAGAAGAAAGGAGAAAACGATTTGATAAACACACCAATTATTTGTGACAGCAGTGCTACAGGAGGCCGCGACAATGGCGGCTACGAAGACGTGTTCGTGCATGCCGATATCTCTGAGGAAAGGGGAGATAATCAACTCAGATCAGGATCAAGGGGAAGCAACTCTCGTCGTCAACATGACGACGCAAGACACGTGGACTGGACTGGTCACAACGATGCTGCATTCCAAGCAGATGAACGAAATGAAAGGGAAGATACACTTCATGACGACATAACTATGCTTATTCATGCAACTAACCGAAAAGAGGAACCATATCTCCCTGATGGAAATAAATCTCGCCCAGATCCCCGTGGTGCTGGACGCGAAGATGGGAAACTAGGTGGCCAGGAAATGAACCGAGCAAGAGGACGCAAAACTAGGGCTGATTGGCCTTGGCCTGGCAAGCATGCTGCACGTGACGACCGCGGTTATCATGATGCAGGTAGCCATGGTGATGCACGAGATGCATACCCTCAAGGCCAAACTAACGGAAGGGAGAAGAACCCATCTCGGATGGACCTAGAAGTCGAATTAAACGATACTGAGCCTGTGATACGGGGAGGTAAACTGATTCTCCGACAGATCAGCAGGGAAGAGGACATCATATGATGACTGCATAGAAGATGTATGTGATACCGATTTAAGTGTGAAGGCATTCTATAATGTTTTATTGAACCAGGAAACAGATATGGCCGAGGCCATCCACCGAGATCAGTATCAGTTTCTTGGGTCAATAAAACTTGAAAAATGTCACCAAACAGTTAGACAGTAGTGATTAGAGATGCTGCTTCACAACTAGCTCTGCTTTACGCTACCACTGATTGTCTTAATACATTGCATCTAATTGCTGCACAACGGGGTGGGTCTCAGGTACCGTGTATCAAAGGTCAATGCAACGGGGTGGGTCTCAGGTACCGTGTACCAAAGGTCAATGTAATAAAATCAAAATCTAAAATCTAATACAGTCGACCGAGCTAGAGTTGATAACCCACCCGTAACGTAACTCTATCCTACCTACACTCTGACTCACAAGCCATCTGTCCTCCTGTTACCATACAGGAAGTCCTGACATGACGCCAGACTGACAACCCATTTCGTACCTACCATTTCCTGACATGACAACCCATTTCGTACCTACCATTTCCTGACATGACAACCTATTTCGTACCTACCATAACCTGACATGACAACCCATTTCGTACCTACCATTTCCTGACATGACAACCCATTTCGTACCTACCATTTCCTGACATGACAACCCATTTCGTACCTACCATTTCCTGACATGACAACTCATTTCGTACCTTCCATTTCCTGACATGACAACCCATTTCGTATTTTCCATTTCCTGACATGACAACCCATTTCGTAAGTACGATTTGCCTCACATGACAACATATCAATTACCAACAACCGTCTTACATGACAACCCACCCGTTTGTTCATAATAATTATGTCAGGAAATATAGACTCTCAGTTCGGATGTGTTTCGTTCTACTTGTATATCACGAAATCATTTATTGTATTTTGTTGAAAACTATAATTGTAATTATTCACTAAATTATCAGGCAATAAATTTGTACCATACATATTTTTTATGTTTATGTAAAGTCTTATAACCAAATAGAGCATGCTTCTAAAAAACTAAGCACAATCTGTGAACCCAGATTCCTTAGGCTAGGTACTTGCTTCGGTTGAATTGGTAGTTTGAAGTGCATAATTGGATTTGTTAATTCAGAAGTTGATATTGCTGTTGTCCAACCAAACCAGGGGCAACACGACAATGTATGCATGTCCCGTCAGTAGGGACCAGTACCAGGCCAGGGTTTTCGAAGCTCTCTTAGCGCTAAGATAGTCGTAAGTGCCACTTACGACTATCGTAGCGCTAAGAGAGATTCGAACATCTGGGCCCATGGACCGACAGTGACAATCATGTGACCCGCTGGACGTGCAGCTGTTATAATACGCCAGTAGTTGAGATGTTGCGCGTGTTCTGAGATACCATGCATTATTTTAACACGGATACTCTGCTTAGAAACAGTATACTGGCTGGGCCTTGTTTGAGCCCCTGTCTGACAACGCCAGGCTGACTGCTGACTTGCTTGACACATGTCACCATATCCCAATTGCAATCGAAAGAAATTGTGTCAAGCACTTGATTGTCTGGTCCAGACTTCATATAGCTGAAATATTCCTGTGCAGCGATAAACTACAACCAATCAATAAACAATAATACAGGAGGTGTGAGAGACCAAAGACTATAGCTACAGGTATGATACCTCACATTCTATAGCTGCAGGTATGGTACCTCACATGCTATAATAGCTACATATGATACCTCACACGCTATAGCTACAGATATGATACCTCACATGCTATAGCTCCAGATATACCTCACATGCTATAGCTACAGATATGATACCTCACACGCTATAGCTCCAGATATGATACCTCACATGCTATAGCTACAGATATGATACTTCACATGCTACAGCTACAGATATTATACCTCACACGCTATAGCTCCAGATATGATACCTCACACGCTATAGCTCCAGATATGATACCTCACATGCTACAGCTACAGATATGATACCTCACACGCTATAGCTACAGATATGATACCTCACATGCTATAGCTACAGATATGATACTTCACATGCTATAGCTACAGATATGATACCGCACATGCTATAGCTACAGATATGATACCTCACCTGCTATAGCTACATATGATACCTCACACGCTATAGCTACAGATATGATACCTCACATGTTATAGCTACAGATATGATACCTCACACGCTATAGCTACAGATATGATACCTCAAACGCTATAGCTCCAGATATGATACCTCACATGCTATAACTACAGATATGATACTTCACATGCTACAGCTACAGATATGATACCTCACACGCTATAGCTCCAGGTATGATACCTCATACGCTATAGCTCCAGATATGATACTTCACATGCTATAGCTACAGATATGATACCTCACACGCTATAGCTACAGATATGATACCTCACATGCTACAGCTACAGATATACCTCACTTGTTATAGCTACAGATATGATACCTCACGTGCTATAGCTCCAGATATGATACCTCACATGCTATAGCTACAGATATGATACTTCACATGCTATAGCTACAGATATGATACTTCACATGCTACAGCCACAGATATGACATACATGCTATAGCTACAGATATGATACCTCACATGCTATAGCTACAGATATGATACCTCACATGTTATAGCTACAGATATGATACCTCAAACGCTATAGCTCCAGATATGATACCTCACATGCTACAGCTACAGATATGATACCTCACACGCTATTGCTACAGGTATGATACCTCACGCTATAGCTACAGATATGATACCTCACACGCTATAGCTACAGATATGATACCTCACATGCTATAGCACCAGGCATCACATCTCACATCCCATAGCCCCAGATTTGATACCTCGACAATATCGACATGATCGTCATTGGCGGCGATATCGTCACCATATATTTTATCCATCGACATCAACTTTTTTTCTATGAATAAACAACGCCATTTAGAAAGTAGTCAAATGTAACACGTTATATTTAGGATTACACTTTCTCAGTAAAGTATAGATTCTTGTTCTTTTATTGGATGAAAGAGTGGGTTCGAATCCTCAACGGGACTCCACCCAACAAATGTATACACTAGAATCGGTAATTAACTGAGAAAGTGTAATCTCAAATATAACGTGTTACATCAACGTTTTCCATTTTATCGCCATCACTGTCACCATCGTAGTCGTATCTTCTGCTTCAATGTCGCCACAGTTTCAGTAATGATCATAAAAAATGGCATCTTTGTCACTGTGCAAACCACTTTCTTCCAAAGAAGTTGTTTGTGACAAGACTCTCTGTTCACCGATACAACTGTGCTGCATCTTGCGCAGGTTTCGTCCAGGACATATACAGGGTATTTTCAAAGTATGGACTTGTAGATCACCTTGAGAGATTATATATATGTTATATCCGGTTCGATTATGTTTCAAAACTTATGGAAAGGAAGGAAAGGAGACAGTTAGCTAGATGCGTGGAAGCAATGGTTAGTTGCGGACCCAGACACACGTCACTTCCGGGACATTCATCCAGACATCACCTCTAACATGGCCTGGAAGGTTGCAGAGGTGTGCCCTTCTCTGAAGACTGCTGCCAGATTCGTAGTGAACCTTTGTGCTGCATAGACCAGGAGCTGCTTGTGGACGATGTGAGGTGTGCGGACAAATGTATGGCGACCTCCTCATCCACCAGATATGTCACTGTGCCAGTTTAGAGGACCTCCGAGAAGATTTATGGTGCAAAATCATTTGTGTCTCACCAGTAGAGTGTAGTGTCAAACTACACGCCAAAGCAGACTATGACCTGACCACCAGTCTGCTGTCATGTAGGCCTCCCATAGAGATGGACTCTGAGACAATCATGGACTATGCCAAAGTGATCGTCAGAGGACTGTATGCCCTGAACGTGCACCTACAGAGACATGCATCTTAATGTCGTGTTATCGCATTTATCACATTTCAATGTTCACTGTAATCATCATTTAGTGTAACTCCGGCAGTACTACTGTACTCTCTGCAAGAGGAATAAAAGTATATATATATATGATATGTCATCTTACATACACTCGTGTCATCGTGGTGACACCGAATGCCTTTACATTTTAATTTAATTATGTAGGTTGCTGCCAAGTCTGTCATACTGACCCTGAAACAAATACACCCAATGCGGCCCATCAATGCATGAGTCTGAAATATGTGGCAAGTCTAGATTACCACAGTTTCACAGTTTCGGTTTCTGAAAATGAAGAAAGTCCATGGGCTACACTTTTATATTTTATGAGGTGAGGTGAGGGTTTAACGTCGTGCTTGAGAATATTTCGCTCATATGACGACGTGCATTCATGTGTATGTGTATGTGCGGCTGCTTGTACTAGCCCAGACTTAAGCTAGCCTACTGAGATACCATGCCGCAGTGAAGCATGAATACCCCGCTCAGACACATTATACTGACTCCGAGCCGACCAGTCCTTGTTGTACCCATAAATGCCGAGCGCCAGGCAGGGACCCTATTTTAACGTCTTTTGGTATGACGCGGTCGGGGATCGAACCCGCGACCTTCCGCTCTCCGGGCGGACGCTCTAACCACTACACCACGGAGGCGGTTTTATATTTTATGAACATAAGTTAGAAGTTGTTTTTTTGTCTGTCAAGTTTGTTTATTTCGGTAACTAGATGTTAGTCTAGTTGCCGTCAGGCGAGGCAACAAATGCACAATTGTGGGTGCCGTTGTACAAAGCGATTATAATGCTAAGGTGGTCATAACTCTCATACCTCAACATAGACGTACGACTGGCGCAGCCCTATGGTTGCTTTGTACAACGGCACCCTGGACTCCAAGATGGCTGACTCCCGCCTCGGTTACCCAACAATTGCTACATGTTGCCTCGCCTTACAGGCCGCAGGCTCGGGTCCCTTGTAGGCCTGACATACAACTTCCAGCAAGTGGTTGTAGGCGTTGTACTGGATCAGTTTGCTGTGTTGACCGTTGATGTTGATGTGTGGCACGTAGTGGATGTGGCCGGCGTGGGTGATCTGGCCCATCTGGTGATGAAGCTCGCTACCCTCGGTACTGTTGTAGCAGGTTAGAATCTCAGACTCGGACATGTTGGTGGCAGGAGCGCACTGGTAATGGAAGTACGACAGTCAGTGAGGGAGCTGGTCTCTCTTTGAACAGTGTTTCAATACGTATGTGACCTACCTTAACACGTATTTCCATGTGAGAGTGAGTGAGTGAGTGATGCTACCTGAACACATTCGTGACCAACTCATGTTATTGCGGGACAAGCCTTGGAGGCTATGGAAGGAGAGGAGTGGTGACGAATACTCTGAACAGTGAGTGAGTGATGTTACCTGAACACATTCGTGACCAACTCGTGTTATTGCGGGACAAGCCTTGGAGGCTATGGAAGGAGAGGAGTGGTGACGAATACTCTGAACAGTGAGTGAGTGATGTTACCTGAACACATTCGTGACCAACTCGTGTTATTGCGGGACAAGCCTTGGAGGCTATGGAAGGAGAGGAGTGGTGACGAATACTCTGAACAGTGAGGGAGTGAGTGGGTCAGTGAGTTATGTGATCTCTTTTAACAGTGTTTGAAGTTCAAAGGTTAACGGCAACGATGAGGATGTTGAGACAGACCTTACTGAGAGCCTCCATCTGATGTCCGTGCCTCGTGTTCACCTCCATGCAGTTGATCATCGGCATGTACTCCCGGGCATCGTATGCGGTCATATTCAGAACACAAGCCTGTAAACATGGGGTCACATTCAGATCAAGAGCACAAGTATGTAAATATGAGGTCATATTCAGATCTAGAACACAAATCTGTAAAATGAGGTCATATTCAGATCTAGAACACAATGTTGTAAACATGAGGTCATATTCAGATCTGGAACACAATGTTGTAAACATGAGGTCATATTCAGATCTAGAACACAATGTTGTAAACATGAGGTCATATTCAGATCAAGAGCACAAGTATGTAAATATGAGGTCATATTCAGATCTAGAACACAAATCTGTAAAATGAGGTCATATTCAGATCTAGAACACAATGTAAACATTGTAGAACACAAACATGAGGTCATATTCAGAACACAATGTTGTAAACATGAGGTCATATTCAGATCTAGAACACAATGTTGTAAACATGAGGTCATATTCAGATCTAGAACACAATGTTGTAAACATGAGGTCATATTCAGATCTAGAACACAATGTTGTAAACATCACGGTCAGAACACAAGCTGGTAAGCATGTATGTATACCTCACATCACAGACACTTAGTATATAGCAATTCAACAAACAGGAATATAGAAGCACACAGAAAGATAAATAATTTTACTTTAATATTTTTACTGGTCTGCAATGTAAAGAAAAATTTACTTAGTACCAGTACAAAAGGGGCTAGACTAACACATTCCTGTAAAATAACGAGTCCATTTCTTTCGCCAATGTCAAGACATGTATACGCTAGATATCTTACTCATAACCCAATTTTGCTATAGATATAACAATCGGATAAATGCCGTCTTTGACACATTAGAATTGGGTACCAGGGCGGTCGGATGATATTTTGTATGCAGAATACAACAGCTGCAACCTTTACTGTGATAAGAGGTGCTGGTCTTTTTAGGGAACTACAACACATTTGTTCGCTGTGTTGTTGTTGTTGTTTTCTTACGCTGCGTCTTCACCTACATTTTATACTCTGAACGCAGGAACCAAACCATTTCACGTGCTCAGTGTTGGGTTTAACGTCGCTTTAAGCAGTGTTCCGTTATATCACGGCGTGTTTTAAGTGGGAGGGGGGTCCGGAGTGATGCAGGTGTTATGCACAACATTCATTTACAAAAGTGTCCCGTGAAAAATCTTGTGATAACTCATGCAAAATATGTTTGCAGCATTTCCTGGAACGCTGATTACAAATTAACAAGGTGAGCAGTACTTACAGCTATGGCGTTCCCGATACACTCGGAGGGCCCGTGTTGACAGTTGTACATCACCCACTTCCCGTTCTCCTGTTTCTCCTGCAGGTAAAGATGAGGCTTAGGACACTAGCTACACTAGTGCTTTAATACTCTTGTGTTATATGTTACAGACACGCACTAATACTTGTGTTATATGTTACACAAGTCAAATGTACTAATACTAATAGTCTTGTGTTATATGTTACACACGTGCCCTAATAGTCACTAATAGTCTTGTGTTATATGTTACACACACTAATAGTCTTGTGTTGTAGTCTTGTGTTATATGTTACACACATGAACTAATAGTCTTGTACTAATAGTCTTGTGTTATATGTTACACACGTGCACTAATAGTCTTGTGTTATATGTTACACACATGCACTAATAGTCTTGTGTTATATGTTACACACGTGCACTAATAGTCTTGTGTTATATGTTACACACGTGCACTAATAGTCTTGTGTTGTATGTAGTCTTGTGTTATATGTTACACACGTGCACTAATAGTCTTGTGTTATATGTTACACACGTGCACTAATAGTCTTGTGTTATATGTTACACACGTGCACTAATAGTCTTGTGTTATATGTTACACACGTGCACTAATAGTCTTGTGTTATATGTTACACACGTGCACTAATAGTCTTGTGTTATATGTTACACACACGTGCACTAATAGTCTTGTGTTATAGGTTACACGTGCACTAATAGTCTTGTGTTATATATGTTACACACGTGCACTAATAGTCTTGTGTTATATGTTACACACGTGCACTTATAGTCTTGTGTTATATGTTACACACGTGCACTTATAGTCTTGTGTTATATGTTACACACGTGCACTAATAGTCTTGTGTTATATGTTACACACGTGCACTTATAGTCTTGTGTTATATGTTACACACGTGCACTTATAGTCTCGTGTTGTATGTTGTATGTTACACGCGTGCATCTCCTTGTAACATGTCACTCACGTGGGCGAAGCCGTAGGGTACGATGGTGACGTTCATGACGTTGTCGGGAAGGAGTTTCATCGTTGGATACAGCTGTGTTGTCAGGAACTTCCTACTGAAGGGACACATGGCCTCATAGTAGGTCACGATATCCACCGGCTCAGCCCCATCACAGTCCTGTGAGTGAGTAATTGTAACACAAGATTTAAAACCATTCGCGTTTAAATTCGTAATACATGGGCTGGCCTAAGATACTTAAACAAATGAACATTCGGTCTGATAGTATTATAGTGAACTCAAATATCTCCTTGTCTCCAGTAAACAGACAGTACATAACTATGTTTACACTGTCTCTCCGGGAACTGCGGCGTGGTACCACTGTAGGCTGGTACTACAAAACAGGCATTGGTCCAAACTAGCACAATCACTCACTCATTACGTTAGGCACGCACACAGGCACGAACGCGCACACACACGTACAGACTCTTCTCTGCGACGTTAAACCTAATTTCACCCCTCCCACAGATCTACTGTCGTATCAGTCACATTATCCATTGTATAAAGAGCCTCGAGTGATTAATCCCTTGATTAATCACATTGTTTTTATGGGTGTTCTAATCCAAATACATTTATGAGTACCGTTCTCTTACTCCTGTTGGCGTTCATCCTTGACAAAACAGCATTTAGCTCCAGTGGATTGTAAAGAATTATTTGGACTAGGTAGTTAATGATGATCACCCTATCAGCGCTTTGCATGATGGTTGAGCCACTCCACCGGGTGGAACAACTGTCAAATCTGCCAGTCGTACACCTTGACACGTGGCCCTAAATAAGTTACATACTTACACTGCAAACTGAAGCGGCGGATGCAGCGCTCACAACAACGGCTGCGACGAAAACTGTTGTCAACATCATCACTGTCCACCTTGACGTACTGCCACAGTGCTGTAAGCTCCACAGTGCTGTATACTCCACAGTGCCTTGATCCACGCACCTGCCTGTTCACAGGACCTTCATACAACTTAACCTATCCCTGACCAGGTCAGGAGTTGGAGGTAGTCCATATCTATATTATGTACACCATTTAACGGCAAGGTCGCACCCAGAATAATTACCACGTTTTACTACAATATTCCCCCATGTGGAAAATGTGTCCTCAGAAATGTTAGGAGAAAAATATTTGTGTACTTGCAAGCGAGTGAGTATGGTTTTAAACCACTTTTAGCAATACCACCAGAATTACCTTACCCATGTTACAGTTTGAACCCAAGTGTTTGGCGTGATGAGCGAACGCTGTTATCACTACGATACCCCGCCGCCTTTATGTACTTACGAGCGTACGGGGATGACTTAGTCTGTCTCACAGTCCCTGAACCACATTAATTTCCCTACTGCCAAGCTCTCTCTGCAGTGCTAAAGCCCTAAATAAAGCAAGTCTAGATTTCCTCAGGTTCTGAATCTCTGGTCTCCCTAGGGCTCCTTATCAATATAAATGGGTTTGTTTGTTACTATCAAAATTATATATATTCAGAGACTAAGCCTTAGTCTAGGGGATGACTGTGGAATATCATATATATATATATCTGTTTCATCTCTGTACCTGGGAATGAAAATGTCCGACCATGTCTTCATATTCTCTGCTAAAAAACCCAACACAAAACCAGCACGGAGATGTTTAATTTTTTTATATTGCTATATTTGCATAATTTTTCATTTCATAACAATAATAGGCTATATCTATCCCAGTAACACATCCAAGAGTTTTGATCTAAATGGTTATAAAAAGAAGACATTTTCAGAATGTGCAGTCTCTCCTTCCGGAATCCTCAGGTTCCAGCTACTTCTCCGATGTATTCCGAAGTGCATTTCTCTAAGATTTTGCGCCAGTGAATGTCTGACTCAGAATCTAAATGACAGCCCGACGTCATGATATAGAATAAGAACTAACATCTAGTCTCTGAAACTAACACATCATACAGACCAAGAAATCATAAATATTCACAAAATATAATAAAGAGGAAGCCAGAGACTTCAATTTCTTCCTGAAACTGTTGTTATCTAAATATATTCTAGACTTGGTTCAGGGTCTGTATGACAGACAATATAAAATATCATGGTTTAAAGCAAAAGGTTACCTGTGCTAATCTACCTTTAGGTGTTCTCAGGTAAAAGTTTATTTAGTCAGTGGCCCCGCGGGTAATCCGAGTTAGTGAGTGAATGAGTATGGTTTTACGCCGGTGTAACAATATTCCAGCAATATCATGACAGGGGTCAGCAGAAATGGGCTTCACGTATTGTACCCATGTGGGGACTCGACCCCAGGTCTTTGGCGTGACGAGAGCACGCTTTCACCATTAGGCTACCCCACAGCCCCTAATCCGAGTTAAAATGTACATGCAGTTAGGCAGTAAGTGGCAACAACATGGATCGGATGGCCACGCTCGGTCTTGTGGCGTGATGTCATTCATATACGATATAGTGAGTGAGTGAGTGAGTTTTACGCTGCTTTTAGCAGATTCCAGCAATATCACCAGAATGGGCTTCACACATTGTACCCAAGTGGGGAATCGAACCCGGGTTTTCGGCGTGACGTGCGAACGCTTTCAGCACGATGCATTATCTGTAAAAATAAACATTGCATTTTATAACCTTCTCATTTAAACGACTTTCAGCCACAGAATTGCGCAAGTAAATATACATGATCATTGGTTCAACTGAACTGGCAGTTTCTGCTGTTACGTACAACTTGCAACGTGATCAGGTCTTTCATGCTGTATCGTCATGAACAGCATCTAGTTTAAGAATTCCTGGTGAAACGTGGGCAGTTTAACTCCGCAGTAGTTAATGTCACAGCTACCAACTTATGAATATATCCTCAATTATTTACAGGTAACCATGACAACAGCGATGAATGTTCATCATGTGACAAACTTCCTTCAGTAACATGCAGTCAGGGCGACAGATTCTAATTACTATTACATACTCCACTAAATCAATCGATCGATTTCTATTCCCCAACTGCCACATGCATGTCCACTAGTGTGTATAGGCAGATACAGAGGGGTTAGCCAAGTAGGGGTGGTGGTGGGGGTCGAGTCTGATACTCCTCACCCACTTGAACAGTCGAGGTAAGGGGACGCAACCCAAGATCGCGGCTCTCCGATAGGAACTTGACATGACCCACTTTAGACGACGAGTCTAATTTTAGATTTCCGGTATTTCCAACTCTAACTTCACCCGAGGTATGTATGTGAATGTCTGTGTATACGTCATTAATTCCTATTTAATCATCATATGTGTCAGTTTCATGCAAAATTCAATCTAGTCAAAGTGCTGAAAGTATCATGTAGTCGGTGTTCCATTCCTGGGGATGGGGTGGGGAGTGGGGTGGGGTGTTCATAGCCGAGAGCCGCGATGCGGTCCTATACAGTCAAGACATGACCCTGCAGCCGCGATGCTGGATACAGTCAAGACATGACCCTGCAGGGTCATGTCTTGACTGTATAGGACCGCATCGCGGCTCTCGGCTAGGGTGTTCAGTAATATTGCTGGATATGCTGCATGGGAAGATGGAGCGTTCCTCGATGTACACTCACTATCACGTATCTTGCTATTGAATTCTTTGTCATGACATACCGATCTGTCGTGTAACCAAGAGCCAGATCTGTGTATAGATATACTACAGTGTTATTACCATGACTATAAGATGACAGTGGAATATGCAGCAAATGTGTGTCTAACTCCGCATGGTGAACATGTATATCCGGGTCACTGCGCCATTGAGCGGGAATTTTTGAATGGCAGTCCGTGATATTTGTCTCTGATATATCCCACCTTGTCCACCACCTATAGCCACCACCTTGTCCACCACCTTGTCCACCACCTTGTCCACCACCTATAGCCACCACCTTGTCCACCACCTATAGCCACCACCTTGTCCACCACCTATGTCCACCACCTTGTCCACCACCTATAGCCACCACCTTGTCCACCACCTTGTCCACCACCTATAGCCACCACCTTGTCCACCAGCTATAGCCACCACCTTGCACCTTGTCCACCACCTATAGCCACCACCTTGTCCATCACCAGCCACCCACACCACCTATAGCCACCACCTTGTCCACCACCTATAGCCACCACCTTGTCCACCACCTATAGCCACCACCTTGTCCACCACCTATGTCCACCACCACCTTGTCCACCACCCTTGCTTACCACCACCTATAGCCACCACCTTGTCCCACCACCTTGTCCACCACCCATAGCCACCACCTTGTCCACCACCTATAGCCACCACCTTATAGCCACCACCTTGTCCACCACCTATGTCACCACCTTGCCACCACCTTGTCCACCACCTTGTCCACCACCTTGTCCACCACCTATGTCCACCCACCTTGTCCACCACCTTGTCCACCACCTATAGCCACCACCTGTTCACCACCACACCTTGTCCACCACCTATGTCCACCACCTTGTCCACCACCTTGTCCACCACCTTGTCCACCACCTATAGCCACCACCTTGTCCACCACCTATAGCCACCACCTTGTCCACCACCTATAGCCACCACCTTGTCCACCACCTTGTCCACTACCTTGTCCACCACCTTGTCCACCGCCTATAGCCACCACCTTGTCCACCACCTATAGCCACCACCTTGTCCACCACCTGTAGCCGCCGCAAAGGAAAGTAATGCGCGACATAGACCAGTATCACCATAGCCCTCACCCACAACACAAACCTCCTCATCCTGAACAGCAACGCACAGACCATCACCACTACCACCACCACTACCACCACCACCGCCACTACCATCACCACCACTCACCACCACCACCACCACCACCACCACCACTACCTCACCATACCACACCACTACCACCACACCACTCACTACCATCACCACCACTACCACCACCTACAACCACTTCACCACCACCACTACCACCATCACCACCACCACCACCACATCACCACCACTCACCACTATCACCACCACCACCACTACCACCACTACAACCACCACTACCATCACCACCACCACCACCATCACCACTACCATCACCACTACCACCACCACTACCACCACCACCACCACCACCACCACCACTACACTCACCACCACCACCACCACCTCCACCACCACCACTACCATCACCACTACCATCACCACACCACCACCACCACTACTACCACCACCACTCACCACCACACTACCATCACCACCACTACCATCACCACTACCACCACCACTCACCATCACCACCACCATCACCACTCACCACCACCACCTACCACCACCACTCACCACACCACCACTACCACCACCACCATCACCACACCATTCACCACTCACCATCACCACCACCACCACCACTCACCACCACCACCACCACCACCACCACTACCACCACCACTACCACCACCACTGCCATCACCACTACCACCACCACCACCACCACCACCACTACCACCACCACTACCACCACCACTACCATCACCACTACCACCACCACTACCACCACCACCACTACCACCACCACTACCATCACCACCACTACCACTACCACCACCACTACCACCACCACTACCACCACCACTACCATCACCACTCACCACCACCACCACCACCACCACCACCACACCACCACCACTGCCACCACCACTACCACCACCACCACCACCACCACCACCACCATCACCACTACCATCACCACCACCACCACCACTACCACCACTCCACCACCACCACCACCACCTACCACCACCACTCACCACCACCACTCACCACCACCACTACCACCACATCACCATCACCACCACCACCACCACCACCACCACCACCACTACCATCACCACCACCACCACCACCACCACCACCATCAACCACCATCACCACTCACCACTACCACCACCACCACCACCACCACCATCACCACTACCATCACCACCACCACCATTACCCACCCTACCACTCACCACTCACCACCACCACTACCATCACCACCACCACTACCACCACCACTACCACCCTACCACCACCACCACCACTACCATCACCACCACCACCACCACCACTACCATCACCATCACCACCACCACCACTACCACCACCACTCACTCACCACCACTACCACCACCACCACCACCACCACCACCACCACCACTCACCCACCACACCATCACCACCACATACCACCACCATCACCCACCACCACCACTACACCATCACTACCACCTCACCACCACCACCACCATCACCACCACTCACCACCACCACCACCACCACCACCACCACTACCATCACCACCACCACCACCACTCACCACCACCACACCACCACCACCACCACCACCACCACTACCACCACCACCACCACCACTACCACCACCACCACCACCACCATCACCACCACCACCACCATCACCACCACCACTCAACCACCACCACCACCACTACCACACACCACCACCACCACCATCACCACCACCACCACCACTACCACCACCACCACCACCATCACCACCACCACCACCACCACCACCACCACCACCACCACCACCACCACCACCACCACCATCACCACCACCACCAAACCACCACCACCACCACCACCACCACCATCACCACTACACCACCACCACCACCACTACCACCACCATCACCACAACACCACCACCACCACTCACCATCACCACTACCACCACCACCACCACCACCACCACTACCACCACCACCACCACCACCTCACCACCACCACCACCACCACCACTACCACCACCACCACATTTACCACACCACCACTACCACCACTACCACCACCACTACCACCACATTACGATGATTGACGATGACGATTTACTTTACGACTATATTTACGCATTTTTACTTCATTTTTATTTTAATTTATTTTACGATTTACTTTACTTATTTTTTACGACATTTACTTTATGACGAAGACGATTTACGATACGATGACCACGAGATGCATTTACGATTTATTTACCATTAAGACATTTACTTTACGATTAACATTTTTACGCATTTACTTAATTACTTATCATGTACTTACTTTACTTTATTTACGATGAATTTCAGACTTTTATTTTACCTTTATTTACTATATTTTATTTTATTTATGACGAAATTTATTTTTACGACGACATTTATTTATTTTAATTTGAACTTATTTAATGACGACATTTATTTACTACTTTATTATTGATGACGATTGAAACGAGATCGACTCGATGACATTTACTTTATTACTTTATGATGACGACGATTTGATGATACGACATTTATTTATTTACGATGACGATGACATTTGTTTGATAGACGACGATGATGACATTTATTTACGACATTATTTACGACGACGATTTACGATGATCTATTTACTTATTTTATTTACACATTTTTTATTTTACCACACACCTTGAGAGGAGGAGGAGGAGGAGGAGGAGGAGGAGGAGGAGGAGGAGGAGGAGGGAGGAGGAGGAGGAGGAGGAGGAGGGAGGAGGAGGAGGAGGAGGAGGAGGAGGAGGAGGGAGGAGGAGGAGGAGGAGGAGGGAGGAGGAGGAGGAGGAGGAGGAGGAGGAGGAGGAGGAGGAGGAGGAGGAGGAGGAGGAGGAGGAGGAGGAGGAGGAGGAGGAGGAGGAGGAGGAGGAGGAGGAGGAGGAGGAGGAGGAGGAGGGAGGAGGAGGAGGGAGGAGGAGGAGGAGGAGGAGGAGGAGGAGGAGGAGGAGGAGGAGGAGGAGGAGGAGGAGGAGGAGGAGGAGGAGGAGGAGGAGGAGGAGGAGGAGGAGGAGGAGGAGGAGGAGGAGGAGGAGGAGGAGGGAGGAGGAGGAGGAGGAGGAGGAGGAGGAGGAGAGAGGAGGAGGGTGGAGGAGGAGGAGGAGGAGGACCATCACCACCACTACCACCACCACCACCACCACCACCACCACTACCATCACCACTCACCACCACTACCATCACCATCACCACTACCACCGCCACCACCATCACCACCACCACCACCATCCACCACCACCACCACCACCACCATCACCACCACCACCACCATCACCACCACCACCACCACCACCACACTACCATCACCATCACCACCACCATCACCCCACCACCATCACCATCACCTACCACCACCACCACTACATCACCACCATCACCATCACCACCACTACCTCTACCATCATCACCCCTACCACCACCACTACCATCACCTATACCACCACCACTACCATCACCACCATCACCACTACCACCACTACCTCTACCATCATCACCCCTACCACCACCACCACTACCATCACCACCACTACAGCAACCATAACCACAATGACAGTTCCTCTAAGATCACCGTATTACAAAACGACACGACCGCTAAACACCGTTTTACTTACAAGACTTCTGTCATGACAAAAACAACAAATATCTCACTCTGCAAATGCATGATTCCCAGGGAAACAAGTGGTGAAGATGCTTGCAAGTGCGTTCAGCGACGTCTTCAGTGTTGCAGTAGACTCTCCAAACATGGAGTCGATACCGTCCCTTGTCAACGTTGTGCTGTCCAAGTTACCAGACGCAACTCATGACCACAAGAGGGAGTTACTCAATCTGTTCAGCGATCTCAAGGACAGTGCAATGAGAGATCTCAAATCCAGGTTCAAGACCTATGCAGAGAAATGTGCCGACTTCTTCCAACAAGGGGACTTCAAGAAAAATGCCGACACCTTCAGGACAAGTGTTCTGTGTGTAGAACGCTTAATGATGCATCATTTTAGAGAAAGATCCAAGTCTTTTGTTGTTGGCTCGTCGTTCACAGATGCCAAAACAGGTAAACACGTTGTGTAGTGTATTTAAGTTTCCTCAGTGTCGATTCTCTGCAAACCCTAAATATTGCAGCACACAGGGCGTTGGTTCGAATCCGGGATGGGACTCAACCCAACAAAGGTTATAGAATCTGTACTTTACTGAGAAAGTGTAATCACAAATATAACAGATGTTTATAAATGTTGCAGTATTTTCAGCAGGTCATTCATTCGGGGTATTATTTTCTTATTACGTAAACTGTGCAAACTGACGTATTGACGATTAGGAGTATGACGTAATTGTTATTCCTGAATTTACTGTAGTCTAGCTGCTACACCCCAGCATGTCTGTGTCTCAGAGATCCTTCTATCAAGGGGTTGCTTCATATTTTATCGTGCATGAGGTGAAGTGAGGTGACGGGCTATAGTGCAGGCCCACTCTGTTACCATTTGTAGCATGAACATTGGATACCCCACCCCGACAGATTATACCCACTCCAAGACAACGAGTCCTTGTATTGCCCCCTTAATCTCGAGCACAGATGTTTAAGTTATAGGAACAGGTGTAGGTGAATGGTCACCTGGACATTGAAGCCTCTGTTTCGTTCACTGAAGGGACTTTTCAGCAAAAAGTGGCCTTTCTTTCTCTACCATCTCATTAAATGTAGGTACTTTTTTAGGTAATATGATGGCGCCTCACGTGAACTCAATTGATTATAAGTGCATTCTTCAGTTTGTTCAATATCAGTTTCTTGACTCTGTTCAATTTCTTTTCCACCTCAGGCCAAACAGACCGATTTTATCAAAAGCAAACCAAACAGAAGATTAATGCTATCTCGATTTCCACCCTTACTGGTGTAGATGTAATGGCGATCGTGCTCTTGCAAACTATTGCCAATTGTAAGATTCTGACATAACGTGCGTTTGTAAATCACTGTTAAATAGTGACAAAAATCGTGTCATTGCTTTCCAGATAATTCTAAGAAAAGAAGGCTCTCCCATAATGCACATCAGGTTGCCTTAAAGGAATGTGAGAGTAACATCGTGAAGGAATTAAACATTGAACGCACAACCCTGATGGACGAACTGATCAGCGTTGATCTAATGACAGAAGACGACAGACAAAGCATTCTAGCAAAACCAACTCCAAAAGCAAAAAGCAACGATTTCTTCCGACTCATGCATGGAAAACTGACATTAGAGCAGACAAAAAACATCTTCCTTCCTGCTGTAGGAAAAGAACACCCATGGCTCGCAAAACATATTTCCATGAAAATGCAAGAGCTGGAACACCAAGAGCAGATAACCACGTGTGTTTGTTGTCGAATGAGGGACATAGTTGAAGTTAAGAGGATTGCTGACTATCTACGTGAAAAGGGACTGGTTTCCGTGACCCAGCACGCAGATTTAACCAACTCTGCTTTGGCAAATAATACAAAATGGACGGAAGTGCTAAAATGCCCACATCCTGATATGCAGTCAGTGGTGATCTCATCGCTCGAGTCCACCTACCCTGATCTCTATAATGACTTCCAGTTCTTCAGCAAGAATGACTTTGCTTGCTTCTGTGAAGACATAGCCGAACAAACAAACATCAACGGCACTGCCAGTGATGTTGATAACCTGTGTGTCGACGTGGCACGCATGTCCGATTTTATGTCAATTTCCACACCTGTGCAAAAGACACCAGCAAGTATGTACGATATATTTGTCATAGTGAATTACCAATTTATATTTTCAACTTGAACTACATACCCCAAGTACAGCTTAACTAGGGAATATGTTATACCAGAGACCATATAATATATTGTATGGTCTCTGGTTATACATACAACGAACAAATGTTTTCAAAGATATACAAAACAAAATTCAAAAATATATGTCAATTGTAGCAGTGTTCTTAACGTTCGGAGCCAGCACACAAGAAACCAGCCATCGTGTCGATACATTTGTTGCAGTAAAGACAAACACTTTTCACCATGCACATCATACCTAAAATTTACTATTGAGGTCATATACAAACCACGAACAAATGTTAATTTTCAAAAACATTTTGTTGGTTCTAGAAGGAATGGCAACTGCTAACCTTTTCAAACCACCCAATGTTATATTTCTTCTTAATCGCTATTTTGTAATAGTTTGTTTGGGTGGTGACATGAATTACTTGTCTTTTGCAGCTTACAAGAATCGAGCCGGAAATAGGAACTTGTGTGTGATAATATGCAACAACAACTACAAACATCTGACAGGAACCACCAATGCAGAACTCACACTCATGCATGACACAGATATTGCAAATATTAAAGACGGTTTTGAAAAATACAATTTTCAGTTTGAAACTCACAAAAACGTGACAGCGGCTCAAGTCGTGTCCCTCTGCCAGAGACTGTCATCCAGCGATCAGCTGAAACAAGTGAACATTATTGCAATCTTTGTACTCTCAGTGTTCCAGTCAGAGCGTTTGGTCGGAGTAGATGGTGCAAGTATTCCTTTAGAAAACATCACGGCTTATTTTACGGCTACTCGCTGTCCACATATGGCTGGCAAGCCGAAAGTCTTTTTCATCCAGACTTCCAGAGGCACAGAGCATGGTAAGTGCATGGCCGTTCGCCATGATGTCGGTGACCCTCTCAGTCCGTGGTCAGTGATACCGGACAATGCTGACTTCTTCGTTGGATACCCGGCGTCCTCGGGACTCACCTCGTACGGGATACCAGGGAAGGGGTCTTTGTATATCACAAGTCTGATGAAGGTTCTTGACAAACATGGCTCCAAACACGACTTTCTAACCTGTATGCAGATGGTCAACGACGCGATGTCACAAATGACCTTGGAATTCGACGACACGATAACACAGCAAATTGCTTGCCCAGTGTTTTCACTTAGGAAACGAATGTACCTATGTGGAGATGACACACTGTCTGAGGCATCACACGAGGGCTACACTTCTGCAGGCTAGACGACAACCACCAGTGAGGCCTTCCACTGTCAAGGGACCTTCAATACAGTGGACTCCCTCTAAACCGATATCGCTTGGGACCGGTGAAAAGTTAGGAGACAAACGTTCTGTGTTGGGAAATTAGATGAATGTTAGTCTCTAAATTTCATTTGGAACCGAACGCGTGGGACCAGTGAAAAGTTAGGAGATAAACGTACTGTGTTGGGAAATTAGATGAAAGTTAGGCAGAATCGATAGTCTCTAAATTTCATTTGGAACCTCACGCTACGCCTAACATTCATCTAAATTCTGCCTAACATTCAGCTAATTTTCCAACACAATACGTTTATCTCCTAACTTTTTCACTGGTCCCACGCGTTCGGTTCCAAATGAAATTTAGAGACCATAACCGATTTAAAATCGAACTCCGTCCTTCCGCGGAAGACACTGCGAAATCCGGCATGGTGCAAGAGGCGAATTGAACTCGTCTGTGAAGGGAGTGGAAGGTGCGTTCGTATTTTTTTAAACATTGCAACATTTTTAATATTCTGTCCAAAGAAAACTAACTACTGTTTATTCAATGCAATAATGTAATACCTAAGAGCTTGGTTTATATAATCCCAACTCCACACGACCGAAACCAGCCTTTTGTTTTGGGTGCCGTGTTACTCTAACCCCCCTGGCCATACTATAATGGAATCGTCTTACCTACTTATTTTTCTTGGAAGTGCAGTCTGTAGAGTTGTTGACAGTTACGCAACAGTTTGAAATGGCGGACAGCCAGTGTTTACATTTTGAGTGACAGTGGAAAATACTTGACTGACTGTCGAATGTGAACCCTGCAGAATCGAAGAATAGATCATTTTCTGATCGACCTACGACCTGTAACTATTCAAAGATTTGTATGACCAGCGAGTGTTGATCATGATTTCACTTACATAGGCTGTAGGTGCCTCCACCCCGGCATGCGACGAAAAGAGTGACAGTGCTGCTTTGTGTACATGCGACTAACTTGGGATTCCTTGGAACATTGTTTTCATCGTTTGGGACTGGATTGTGGCCAAACTTTTTTCAAAGTGTACGAACATAGATCACCAGCAGTGACAGCTTTGTGGGGAAGCTGGCAGAGAGCAGAATTCTGATGGTTCAATTTTTGACATGTATTTCTTGAACGATGCAACAGGACATGATGTGTGTGAGTGGCATAAATTTTGTGTTTCGCCTGACCGTTATCTTGCGAATTTCCCATTCTAATGATTCTAAACGGAAACAAATATACCATTTACCAGGTAGGTAAATGTTTAGTAATGATTTGCTGCACATTTTGTATAGATAGGGATGAAAGTTACAAGGCTTTCTGATTTACATGTTAGATATTGTTTGTTTATGTTTGGGGTTGTGTATTGTAATTGAGTTTGAATATATTTATTATAGAAGGTTATATGATAGTGAGGTTCCCAAATAATTGTGGAGGAATATTTTGTATTTTGTAATTGTATTTTTCGAGTTTTAATAAATGTATTTCCATCACGTCTGTTGTGTTGATATTAGCCATGTTGATGGTCAAGCTGATGCGGCAGTGTTGTATACGTGCGCAGTGAAGCGGTCATGAAATCAGACGAATTTTCAATCCAAAATTGATATCGTCTAAGTTTATTGATTGACCAATCAAAATCGAGCATTTCACGTAGCCATGGTAGAATTTATGCTTACATGAGGACATGAACGAGAGTTTCAGTGAAATGTCTAACAAGATAGTTTAAATATAAAAATGACATGTGTAGAATGATATATGTTCTGGAAGAGAAGAATACTGAAATTGCCAGTCTTAAGATTAGAACCCAGGAACTATGGGCAAGTGAAGAAAAACTACAAAAAGAGGTATCAGCATTAAAAGATGAACTGGAGAGAAAATGCATTGAGTGTAGTGATATTCAAGAAACTATGGATTCACAGATTAAAGTGATCAACAAACGTACAAGTGCGATTGATGGTAAAATAGATTGCATGAATGTTCGCTCAAAGCTGTCTTACTCAGAAACAGTCAAACATGTCTCTCATCAATGAACACTGGCTCAGTGACCAGACAGCCTCATTCCTGGACACCGTACACAGCGACTTCGATGTCTACTCCAGATGCAGCTGTGATCCCTCAACACATCACAGAGGAATCGGAGGGGTTTGTGTTTTCGTACGAAAAGGCAAGTGGTGTAATGTAACTGTGCTGGATACTCCAGAAATTGACCATGTCTTAGCAATCAATCTTCAACTTAAGACTGTGAATATGTATGTGATCGGGACAAGACTGCCGTCTACAAATGTCCCGGACAGTGTCAACCGAGAACAGTTACAGTACACGATGGACCTATTTGATATATATTCACAGCAGGGGACGGCCATACTTGCTGGGGATTTCAATGCAGACATTCGTCATTGTGTTAACAATAAAACCAGATCTCGTCTGTTACAGAGAGCACTGGATGAACGATCTTTATACTCGGTTGTACCCTTGGACGATGAGGCTAAGTATACATTCTCAACAAAATGTAAAGAGGTGAAAACTATATTGGATTACGTATTTGTACATATTGACAATTTACATAACGTAGCTGGTCACACTATTGACCGTACTATTCCATACAATGTATCTGATCATAAACCTATTCTAGTATGTCTTGATTTAGAATCCCCAAATGTTATCTACGGTGGATCTAAATTAAGTTGGAGGAAAGCCTCTGAAACAGATCGTATGTTATATCGTTATGAAACAGAAAGTTATTTCTGTAACGATATATGTAACCCTTCCCACTTTTCATCCAATGCCGACTTCATTGAGTCATATAATCAATCAATTACAAACGCACTTACTGCATCTGCAATCATGTATATCCCTTCTTCCAAATTCCACCCACATCTTAAACCTTACTGGAAAAAAGATGATTTCCAAGATCTTCATTTTGATATGCGCTGCAAAAGACGTTTCTGGATAGAGAATGGGAAATCACATAATCAAAATGATAATTCCAATGCATCCTACAAAAAGGCAAAACGTATCTTTCGAAGGCAGCATCGAAAATCTAAACAATCTCTTTTAGATAACAGATTTGATGAAGTTTGTGAAGCTGCTGAAGTTGATATCCAGGAATATTTTAAGGCCAGTAAACGGTATAAACGAAATTCTGGTACTATTAACACCCTAGTATATGATGGTAATACAGGCGCAGATGATGAAAGCATATGCAATATTTTTGGTGAATATTTCAAGCATCTTTCGGTTCCCCATTTAGACAGTGCCTTTGATAGTGCTTTTTCAGATGAATGCGAAATGTATGTTTCTGAAACTGAAGCCAAACAATCTGAAGCAGATGATATTACCTCCCCCTTATCATGTGATATTACATTTAGAGAGGTACTAAATGCAGTGAAAGGGTTAAAAAACAACAAAGCCCCGGGCCCAGATTGTCTGAGCAATGAACATATCAAATACGCAGGGTGATCATTAATCACTCATATTGTCGCCTTGTTTAATGACATCATCAGATATGAGTACATGCCACTTATGTATAATCTTGGCGAAATTCTCCCATTACACAAAGTTAAAGGCAAAAGCAAAATTGATCCATCTAACTACCGTGGTATAACGTTAACATCTACGCTGAGTAATCTCCTGGAATGTCTGCTCCTAGATAGAATTGAGAAATGGACAGATAATAACACTTCCTTCCCCCACCCTTTCCAGTTTGGTTTCAGAAAACACGCATGAGCTGAGATGGCAGCGCTTACGCTCACTGAAACCATTGCATATTAATATGGTATCCAGGAAGAAATTAAACAATATGTAGTATGTTCTAAATTTTTATGTAAAAAGAAATGGTCAAGAATGGTACGGGAAAAGGTCTTACAATGTGATAGACAAGCAGCAGAGTATGCCATGCAGTCAAGGCTGTCATTGATACGGTATCAGTCAATAAGATCGGACGGTGTAAATCGACTATGGCAACTGGTATACAGACCAAGATACTATAAACGTATTGGTTTTCTTATTAAACTGGGTTCTGTCCCCATTCAGTCGAAGGAATGTGAGTGTGGTACACGATATTTTAAAGCACGTCTTTATGACTTGTAAGATTAATATTGCTGAAAGAAATGTCTTATTTGAACAAATCTGTGACTTACTTGATGTTAATATGTTTGTAAAATTATGGACCTACGGTGATAATGATGAATTTCTAAAATTTCTACTTGGCGGAATACCGGAAGATGTAAAGGACCAGCTAAACTATGATGTGTGGGCAAATGTTATAATATGTGTCTCAAATTCTGTATCTAAATGGAAAAATATTTATAACTGTTGTATTTCACCTTACCAACCTGTATAAATTATTTCATGTGCATTTCTGTTGTATCATGTACCATTAATATGACTGAATAATATACATATACATTTGTAATCTTCAAACTATGGAGGAAATAAAGAGTATCTATCTATCTATCTATCTATCTATCTATCTATCTATCTATCTATCTATCTATCTATCTATCTATGAGTTATTTGAAATTTGACCTTCAACTTATTGTGTTTGGTCTAAAGGGAAGTATAAATGATGATGACGAGTATCACCTACCGTTGAATTGTTTATCTATAAATATAACGTACTGAAATGCCTAATTTTTAATCACTTTAAACATTATATCCACAACAGGTATACCATGGAAACAAGTATTGCTTATAGCAAAAGCCAAAATTCTATACCAAGTGGATGCCGGACAATGAACTAGCTAATTAGACTTGGTTTTCAGTGATCTCTATTTCATGGGAACAAGAACTCTTGATTACTTAAATTTATGTTTGGAAGTGGCTATTTTAAACTTGTTTATGGTTTAGTACAGAATGTGAGCGAATCTGTGTGTGAATGAGCGGGTATGCCGGTGTTAAATGTGTCTAGATATCTGAGTCCACAATATCATGCCTCTAATATGAACCTTACAGAATTGATATGCAAAACTATAGCTTTTGGAACTCATGTAATAACCTTGCTTATGTTTCCTAAATTTGTTTATATATCTTTTTTTTATCTGATTTCGGCTTAGCACTACCCTGGGTGTCTGGTTTTGTCTGTAACAGGGACTCAGAAATGAAACATTAATTTACGAAAAAACATTTTTTATTCGACCT